TGAAGATCACCCGACGCGGCGAAGAGAAGATTGAAGTCTTGGCTCGTTTCACAACTCTTGCTTTCGTTGTGCTGAAGCTGCAGAATGTCGATGGCAGGCATGTTGCCCCAGAGATACTTTTTGTTGCCGAACATGGCGAGCTGGGAGCCCTCGCCGACGAAAGCAGGCTGATAGCCGCTGCGGTACCACTCGGGCTCCCAGGTGCCTTTCATAAAAGGAGATCTACATCCTTTCTTGTGATGAGACCAATCTGCAGTCTGACATTCTTTCGAGCAGTACTATTGTCGCGTGAGTAGGTCGAACGAGGCCATAGGAACATGTCGTCCGATCACAAAAGATGTGGTGGAAAGAAAACAGACATACTTGGACCATGTTACAGCCACTACATACAAGTATAGCATCTGCCTGACATGGCTTCTGCTTGGTATTAGAACACAGTAGCGGATTTCCAAAGGACGACAGGCCAGAAATCTCGGAGGTCTTCGTGTTCATCGTGCGAGACAGATGTTGCGACGCGATCGAATTGATTTACTACGTGGTGCAATCTGGTAGAATTGATAGTACGATCCGTTGAATAGGCACAGCTGAATTGAACGCAATAAAGCATACGGGAAGGACTACAGGGCCTAAGATACGGTGTGAGAAAGATATGACGGTGATTGAGCATCTAGGGTAATTGAGTCAGGCACAGCCTAGTGCGCCTGCCAAGAATCTATGGGTTGACCACGTACACGAAAAAGAGCCCAATCATCTGACGACACGATCATATATCTTGAATTGTACATCGTCGACCTACGTGATCCCGGCAAAAGCCGCGTTCCCCACACGCTGCGCAATCTTGTAAACAGCCATATTCGAACACAAATTTCCAGGTAGTTATAAGTAATAAGGGCATGAAGATTATGTATCATAACCCTGGTCCTGCAGATTCAGATCCAACATGTCTCAGCGTTAACGAGAGATGATTAACTCTGGCACGTCACAGTTGATATCGATAATGAAATCAGGAAACGGAGATGGCGTAGTGCTAGGATACGATATAGGAGCGAAAATGATTGCTGCTTTTCCTGCTCGTTCTCCCGCGCTTGCAATGTAGCGAGCTTGTAGTGACTGAGTCCAGGTCGATGGATACTGTCGGTGTGGCTAATATATCGACGCCTTCGAGATCATAATCGCTAAACGTGCTACTCGCCATGTTTGCGATGAGAATCTTTGCGTAGACGAAGTGGCAAAGCTGTCGAGTGGAAGCGATACAGAAAATATAGGTGGACGAGCGAGACGATCTAAATGTGAAACCAAGGAGCCTGTTGCAGTGAATGCAAAGGGAACAAATAGCGATGCGTTGAGCGGGAAAGTGAAATTTAGCTTCTTACAGTATACTAAATACTCGGAAGACACTATTCAGATCATATATTGCATTGCTAAACCCAGGAGGTGTCTTCGAAAAGAAAGGATAGCAACCAGTAGTACCCTGTCGTTCTACTTGAGCAGACGATCCAGGTAACTCGGCCCCGCTAGAAGTTACATAAACATTCTTCTTCCCTATACTTGGTTAGTAGTTCTCGCGCATCTCTGAGACCACGTCATAAATGGCTTGCATGACATGCACGACTATATCAGAGCGTCTTAACCCCTTTGCAGTTTCGTGGTGGAAAGGATCGTGCATTTTTGATTGGATAAGCTGCTCTTTGTCTGCGAGCAAGACTCAACCCGGCCTCTGGATCGCCAGAAATTGTCTTATCAATTGCTTTTACTGGCCAGCCCAAATAAGGGGCGTAACATTTAGTTTTAAGATCATGTTTCGGTTCTAGTGATACCGTCTTTGCTAACCGAGAAAAACCATAGAGCCAGTTGCCTTGACCACGTTATTGTTATCGGATACTAGTGCTCGGCTTACAGTATTGTCTGCGGCACCAACCGCTGTCATTGTTCGCATACGTTGGAACACTGTGTTCAAGCACATTTGAAAAAGAGGGGTAAACAAAAGCAAAAAAGGGGAAAACACTGGTGAGTCATGTGGGCGCATGTCTTGTGACGAATGCCCACTTGATTGCACTATTCCCAATGCAGTCTTTGCAGCAAGCACCTGTGGTAACAACCTCTTTCGGCTAGCGCATGGGCTCACCGGATTCGCTTCGCTCTACTCCACCGTACCAGTCTGCCTTGTGTCCCCATAGCGTGTGTGTCAGGCTTTCCCAAGTACTGCAACAACACAAAAGCTTCGGGGTGTCATTGGATTGCAACGTACCTCCTTTGGCTAATGTTGCGACGCTCGATGTGTTTCTCTGGTCTGCATCAGCTTGTTCAGTCAGCGATACGTTTCTAACGTGATTCATGACACCAGTCAGAGAATTCCGGTATCACTATCAGGCAGTCTGCGGGTAGGCACACGACGGAGGATGTTCGTTCGCGCGCTCATTGCCATAACAGCACCTGCAATCGCAATACCCGGAACTGGCTCTGAGAATTTGTCTTCACAACTGTACTGCATCGCAAACCTCGTTGGCTTGATTGTTGCTTCAGTGCATCGGTGTGATCAAGCCTACCCCACCCCCCGTGCAGCTACAGCCGACTGCGGGGTAACATGACGGGACGCGCAAGTCGATCTGCGTCCGTTGTTTAGCTAAAGCTGATCTGAGGTAGAGGGCGCGGAACCAGCCGCCGCTTGCCATTAGCGCTCGCTTGCGATCGGTGACTGCATGCTAATGTATCCAGTCATGGCTAGCAATAACAATGCGGCACGAACAGACAGGCTTCGCGGAGAATGTGTGGCTCGTTTCGAGCACTCTCGACAGCATCGATACGAACCTTAGGCGCGCCACTCTCTTTGTTAGAAGGGAAGTCATCAGGGTTTGTGTGGTTTTGGCATCTTGCGACTGCGAATGCTGATGTGGGCTGGCGTTAGCCGAGGGTGGCTTATGAACAGTAGGGGCGTACCAGACACGTTATCGTAGGCGAAGTACTATCGAAACCATGAATCCTACTACTAACAACGTCATATATCGCACGGCTAGGTGCGGGTAGTGTGGATAGAGAAGTTAGAAGAGTGTTTGTTTTTGTCGTTGTTTCTAACACCGTGGTTAGTTCGGTACATATGAAAGTCATTGCACAGTACTATTGGTAACAAGGTTTCCGATAGCGCTAAGCCTGCGACATACGATCTCATTGGTTTTGTTACGTATTTCTCTTAAGACGACGGGCTTCCCAAAGTCGTAGTTGGCAAGAAGGTCAATATGAAGGTCTTGATCAGATTGTAAGTGGTGGAGCATCTGATCTTGTTGAGTATTGTACCTAGCTATAAGCTGTACTTGGCATGTAGATGACTGGCTTAGCAGACGTCATCGTATTAAAGCTACCTTTGGTTGATTGAGCGGTGATAAGATTGTGCCTCATTCGTCGAACAGGAGTCTTTAGTACGCTGACATCTGCTTGGGAAGCTACCCAGACATTTGTGCCGTAGTTAGGTATGCCGATAAGGGGGGGGGAGAGGGGGGCAAAGGGCACATCGGGCCGATTCGTTGTGGCAGTGAATATATGTGCTGACCCCGTGTAATTCAATTTGCAAGATCAAAGTCCTAGCCCTTCACCGTTACTGCAAGCCCATTTCTAACACAATCGCTCCTGCGGTCAGCTCTTATCATGACAAAAGGATCTTCGACCTCTAGTGGTTCTCAGTCGAGTTCCGGCGGAAACGGATACACGACAACCAGCTCTGGCACCAATAGCCAGGTAAGAGCACGACTTCGTAAGAAAGCTTTC